GAGATGGCCCAGAACCAAAAGACCAGAAGCCTGGGTGGCCGCCTCTCCAGGAATCTTTTCAAAGCCACCCAAACTAGGGGCATCCCGGCCTCTCAAGGCAACAATTCCTAGGCTAGCGACGTGTGAAGTCTCCCTTTCACCGGCCCTGAATTTCCAAAAATCAGCCCCCCTCGAGGGATGCCCCCACAGGCCTCACCCCAGACATGGCCGCCACGTCTGCGTGATGAAGCTGCAGCGGGAGGCCGCAAGCCGTCCTCACAGGCGTCTCAGAGCGCTGGGTCACCCCAGCGGCACTTCCAAAGCCTGCCCCCAAATACGCAGCGCGAAGAGCCGGAAACGCCGGGGTGGCCGCCATGGGTGGTATTTGTACCTTGCCTGTTCCAAAGGTGGTTCAAAAGGAGAAGCCGCTCGCTTTTTCAGAAAGCAGGCACGTCTCCAAGGTCGCCAAAGGATCTGCTGGTGCTTCGGGATCCGGCTCGCAACCCCTGGCTGTGTCTGCCTAGTGGGGGGGGGGGGTGAAGCACTGTGTGGGGCCCCTGTGGCCCGCTTGGGCGCCCAGGCCCCCTTTCCCAGAGGCAGGCTGCAGCGGGACGGATACTTTCCCGGGATGCCACCGTGCTGCGGATCCTTCAGCGGCACTGGGCGGCTTCCATGCGCCAGTGCCAGCCCTCGGTCACAGTGGACGGAGCAGCCCCAGGTCCCACGCAGGGCGGCCGGCCACTTTTCGGGTTCCTCCTCCCACACGCCCCGTGGCTTCCTTGCGGGGCGGAAAAGCCCAGCAGGCTGTGCAGGGAAGCCCAGCAGGGTGTGCCGCGGGAACGTCCCTCCGGGAACATGGGCCTTCCGCAGACGGCAAGCGCCGCCGGGAACAGAGGCAAGGCTCCCGGGACATGGAAGCAGGGCCACGGGTGGGCGAATGAGGTGCTCAGCTGCTGGCAGGCCCCGTGCCCCAAAGCGCCAGAGTCCAGGCATGGCCCTGAGGCCCCTCTTGCGCCCTGCCGCATAAACCGGCACTTTGCAACCCATGGTGCACACGCCACGAGGTGTAACTGGTGGAATTCCTCATCCTGGCCCATTTTGAAGGTTTGAAAAGTATAAAGGAGAAACCAACAGCTTGGTTTTGGGTGGAAGGAAAGCAACCTCCTAGCCAACCACAGAGGTGTGACTGCGCGGCTTCCCCCGACTCAACCTCTCTGGGGGAAAATGACTTTTTCTGCAACAATAAACATAAAATACACCGGGATTGCCTGTTGCCAGCAGCAGATTTAGGGCTTTCGGTTTAGCACCATTTACTTCCAGTTTGAGTAAGAACATGCCTGAAAAGGCAGCCCAAATCTCCTTCTCGGTGCAGTTTGTACTTCCATTATTCCTACTTTCATTTCCATGCAGCCCCAGAGCTGTTTTCTGCAGAAAAAAACCCGCCACATAATTTTTGTGCATCGTTAATTATATGTCCTTCCGAAACCAACACTTCAAATTATGCTCACAATTATGTTCTCACGGGCAGAACCTTTTTGAGACGCTGCTTCAATAGCCGTTAGATCGCACATGAGGAAGGCCGCTCGCACGCTCAGGGCGAGACCAAGTCGGCCTTCTCTGGATGGGGAATTCTCAGCAGCAGGAGCAGCCTCGGTTTCCACCAAAAACGGAGCATGGCAGAGGACATGTGAGCGCCTGGCACGCCGAGTGTCCGTGCCACAGCCTTTCCCGAGCGCAATCCAAGTGCGGGCACCGGGCCGCCCTTCCTCGGATTCTGGGGGCCCCCGTGGGTGTCTGGACCCTGCACAGCCCTCAGAAAGCTCCATGCAGCCGTGCCTCAAGAGGACCGGTGCCCAAGTGCAAGCGCACGGCACACTCGTGTGCGGAGGGCAAGACAAAGCCTGGCCTGAGCGCAGCCCGGCCCCCCGGCCAAGGCGGCCCCCGGCAGCACCGCCTTGCAGACGCTCGGCACGAGAGGGGAGGGGTACAAAACGCACGACGGCAGGAAGTCCCTGCTCCTCCTGTTTTTGCACAAAACAGAACATTTATTCAAGTGTTCTCCAGCACGAATACATCAGCAAGGAGCCTTCCTTAGTCAGGTGTTCTGGGCACAAAAGAAAAATGCGAGGGGTGGGATGGAGGCGGAACGGACAGACTTTCTAGCATCTGCTGAACCACTGACCCTTTAATTAGTTTATAAAACAGCTAATGTCACAAGCAATACTTACACGGAGATACAACAGCCCTGCTGGCCAGGATGGGGGCTGGGGTGCCCCCTCCCCCCGGCAGGGCGGAACCATACTCTGAAATGTACAGTATTTATTTGTCAATAAATATAGAAGCAACCCTAAAAAAACAGCGGCTGAAAAGGTGGGGCATCCCAAAATCATCCTAGAAAAGCAAAAGAAAAGCCGGGCGGGTGGCATGGGGGGGGGGGGGGAGGGGAGGGGCGCCTGGGTGAGCTGCGTGGAATGTCGGGGGGCCGCTGGAGCGCGGGGAGAGCCGGGCTCCCCCCAGTCTTGACAGCGCTTGTTCTTCAGCATGAGTACGTGACTTCCCACGAACAGTAAAGCGTCTCAGCTACTTCAATGTCTAAGCTAAAACACATGAAATCTTTAAGTTTCAAGTACAAAGTTAAAATGCCTTTCTTTAATAATAATATAGAAGAGTAAAATAATAGAGCTCTTTTAAACTCCACTACAAGGAAACAAAACAGTCATTGTCCAGACAGCAGACTTAAGTTAACAATAGAGATCTGTAATAAAAGGGGTTTAGCACCTTGGTGTCACCTCCTCCCTCCGCACATGCCAGGAGGCCGGGCCGGGCCGGGGCCCCCCCGCAGGCCGCAGGCCGCAGGGCTGGGCCAGGGCCCCCCCGCAGGCCGCAGGGTCAGGCCGGGCCAGGTGCGGCCGGACGCCCTGCTCCCACCCCGGGGAACGAGCGGCCTGGGACGAACACACTGGGGAGAGTCGAGAGACGAGACGGACAGGCGGCTTTCCCGAGGCCACTTCCAGTTTGGGGAGGGAGATGGGCGAGAAGGACCTGCTGTGGGTTCTCAGAAGTTGGGGGGGTGGGGACGGGGGGCCCGCTCGGCTCTGGGCTGCTGGAGCCGGCCCTGCCGCCGGGCGCCGGGCACCCAAGGAAGGCTCCGGGAGAGGAGACGGTCTTCTCCGCAGCTGAGCAACGGCGGGGGCACTTAGAGCAGCCCCAGCCGGCCCCTCGGCTCAAACTGCCCCAGGGGAGCCCCCAGAAGGATGGCGACTGCAGGCTGATGCCGAGGGCCGGCCCCTCCCCGTTTAGCACCAGTGAACTAGACTAGAAGCAGCCCGGAGGGCCCGGCCGGCACCTTTGTGACCTGGGTTGGGGATCCCGCCGTGTGCAGGACGCTCCCGCCGGGGAAGCTTGCGACCCGAGCGGCCATCTCCGGGGCAGCCACCGCGGGGGCAAAGGAAGAATGGAACACGAGGGAGCTGCCCGCCGGGGGGCGAGGGGGCGTGCGGCGGCCCCATCCCGGTCCTCCACTGCTCTCACTTCCCCATCCGGCCCTGAGCAAGCCCCCAGCGAGACCCTTCACAGTTAGGCGGGGAGTGGGAGGCGGCGCCCGCCTGCCTGGCCCCACTCCCCGAAATGTTAGCACCGAGGCCGGCAGCCTTCCGCGGGGGGTGCCGGGGGAGTGTGGTGGGGCGGCAGGGGCGGCCCGGGCTTCCACCCACCGCCCGCGCCCGGGCCCCCCCGGCACCCGCCCCGCTGCCTCCGAGAGCACCATGGACGCAGGGAAGACGGAGCAGGGGGCGCAGCCGCCGGGGGCAAGGCGGGAGACGGCCGAGGCACAGAGCTGGTTTCGGGGGACCTGCCCGTTTCCCCATTAGCACCAAGGGCCTGGGCCCTGTTGGGAGCGGTCCCCACGAGCGGGGGGCAGCCGCCCGGGACCCGCGTCCCACGGCCGTCCCCCCCACGCCTCACAGTCGCGGGCCGTGGCCGGCTGCGCTGCCGCCCGGGGCGTAAAGTGCACACGATCGCCGAGCCTTCCTCCGGGAAACGCAGGCCTCGCACGGGCGCCCCCCGTGGGCGCCGCCCACCCCGCCACGGCCCTCCCCTGCCAACCCCTCCACAGGTGTGCACGTGCGTGCGTGTGCGCGTGCGTGTGCGTGCGTGCGTGTGGGCATTGCCGGCGGGCTGCCCGGCCAGAGTCTGGTCAAGCACAACAGGAAGTCCACGATTCACATCAGCCAAGAATGCGGGAGGCAGCCGGTGCTGACCTGGGACGCCCCACGGGGTCACAGAGGAATGACGGGGCGCTACTGCGGGGCGGAGGGCCCCCTCCCTCGCCCCCCGGCCGCCCCACAGCGACCCTGCAGCTGGAATCCTGTGCCTGTAGCTCGCGGGCAGAGGCGGGGAGGGGACCGGGCAGACAGGAGACCTGCACGAAGGACGCCGCACACTGGCTCAGGTGCCGGGCGGGGGGGGGGGGGGGCTCGGGGACAGACACCGGCCGCAGGAAAGCACCACTGGCCCGGCCCCCACCTGCCGCTCTGCCTCGCAGAGCCCCGGCCCGGCGGGGGGTGGGCCTTTTCGGAGAGGAAAGCATTATTGCAGGACACCCGGGGCGGAGCGGTGGTGCGCACCGCTGCCGCCCGCCGCTCGCCCTCCGCCCCCTCGGGAGGGGCCGCCGCCGCCGCCTCGGAAAGCCCCCCGGGCCGCGCCCCACGCGGTAAGAAGCACCATTTTGAAAGTCAGTTATACAGTAGTAGCAGTACCTTTGCTACGGAGACGTTTCCCACGCGAACTCTCACGTGTCTTTGAACTGTAAACAGGAGGTAAGAGTGGCTTCCCGGGCTCTCCGGCGTGGTAGGCACCCGAGTGCGATAGAAAAGTGTGTGGCTGGGGGCAGGCGGGCGGGGGCGGCGGAGGCCCCCGGCTCGGCTCGCCCACAGGGCGCTGGTGACGGCGTGGGCAGGCCCCACTGCGCCCCGGCTCGGGGCTCCTGGGCTGAGCGGGGGCAGCGGACCCACGGCCCGCTCGGCTTCGGGCTCGGCTGGTGCGTCCTCGGTCGCGGCGGTGCCCGTGGGCGCCCCCCACCGGGGCTCGGCCGAGGAGAGGCAGAAAGCAACCGAGCTAACGGACAAACCCATCCAGAAAGAGCAGGAAATCAAGAGGAGACCGACGGACTGGGGCCGGTGGGCCTGACCGGGGCGGCCGGGCGGGGGGCAGACGGGCGGAGGCTCGGGCGGTGGGGCCGGCTCGCTCCCGCGGCGGCCTGCTCCCCCCACCCGCCAGCCGCCTCCTCCGCGCCGGTGCCGCTCCTCTCCTGTTCCCGGGGTGGCGTGGGACTCGTCCTCGCGCTGCCAGTCCCGCCGGGGGCGCGTCTCCTTAAACACAGGCAAAGTACTCCTTCAGCGGGGCGAAGAGGTGGCGGATGACTGGCACGCTCCAGGAGCGCCCCAGCAGTCTCTGCCGGGCCAGGCGGCTCATGTTGGAGACGTCCGTGTAGTGGACCGGGAAGCCGAAGACCCTGCGGCGGGAGGGGGGCGTCAGGGGACCCTGCCCACACTGGCGCCTTCACACGGGGCGGAGGATGCCAGGGCAATGGGCGAGGCGCGGGGCCTCGGGGGAGGCCGGGCAGAGGCCCAGCGCCATCCCCTCGCCCAGCCAGAACTAGGCCCCCCGCAGCGGCTGGGAGCGCCCACCTGCCCGAGCCCCCCGGCCCCACCTCTCCATCTCGGTGCACCACAGGATGTCCTCTTTCTCATTCATGAAGACGGGGAAATGCTGGTCTTTGCCCTGCTTGATGGAGTTGGAGCGCGTGGTGATGGTCCGGACTTTGCTGAACTGGGCAGGGGACGGGGCCGGAGAAAAGGCTGGATCAGTGGGTGCCGGAACGCCCCCCCCTTTCCGGGCACCCCCCCCCCGGAACGGTTTCTACCACTCTTCTGGGCATGGGGCTTCTCTGACAGTGGAAGACCACCTTCGCCGTCTCACGTCGGGCCGCATGTGGGGGAAGGGGGCGCCCTCGAGGCAGCCCGAAGCGGATCTTCTGCTTGCTTGAGTGTGCCCAGCTCCAGAGCACGCCCACCCCCCGAAACAGTCTCCCGGGGGTGCCTCCTGCGGAACGGCCGGGCCCCCGGCACTCACCTTGGCTATCCGGCCGTGCTCCAGGCACTCCTGCAGTTCCAGCTTGTCGTTCACCGTCGACGCCAGCGGCCTGTGGGGCAGGTGGGGTCAGCTGGGGCTGCCAGGACCTCAGGGCCGCGCTCGAGAGCCCCCGTCCACACAGACCCCCCCGCAAGCCCACTTTGGGTGCAGGCGGCCAGCAACAGAGCTCACTCTGAACCACTTTCTTGCGAGGTCTTCCCTGACGCCTCTGGCAGGCAGAGAAAAGCTGACCGGGGGGGCGGGGGGCACTGGAGCGCCGCAATCGCTCCGCACACCCAGGGAACAGCAGCTAGAACACCCCTCCCACCTTCAGCCGGAGGCGGCTCAAAAGCTGCCCAGCAATCCCAAGCGGAGCAGCCGCGCAGGCGACAGAGGCAGACGGCTCCTGGCACAACCGGCCCAAAGCCCCTGCGCCACCTGCCCCTCCTCACTTCCTTAATGCACCTTTCCTGCCACAAAAAAGGCAGAAGCAGCTCCGGGAAAGTACGGTGGCGGCGGGGGGGGGGGGGCAAGTGGAGGACAACCCGACCAGGGACCCGGACTGTGGCCCTTCTCCGTGGAGGCCCCGGCCACCCGCAGCGGAGCCAAGCGGCCCTGTCGTGGGGCAGAACCGAAGGCGCACGGCCGCACGTGGCGAGGAGCCCCTGCAGCCATGGGGCGCCCCCTCGGCCGGCAGCCGCGTCTGACCCACCTGTTCATGCCGGGCAGGTTCCCCCAGAAGTACCGGGCTCTGTGTGCGGCGGAGACCTCTTTGGCATCGATCATCACCGGGTTGGACTGCGGGCAGGAGAGGCGGTGGCAGGAAGCGTGACGTGGCAGGCCGGAAAACGGCGCCACGCCTGTCCCCGCGTGGGGGCCGCTGCCGCCCAAGCCCCCGGCCCTGCCCCACAGCTGCAGCATCGGCCCCGACCACCCGGCTCTCCCACCCCACGCATCACCGCGGGAGGGAGGGCGGACGGCAGCCCTTCCCCTCCCCGCTTCACGGCAGAATGGAGCCCCTGCTGGCCCCCCGGCCATGCTCTCCATGCGCCCAAGACCCAGGGAGGGGGCGGGCCAGCACTGCGGAACAGAAAAACACGCGCCACTGAACCTCGGAGGGCAGCGCTCCCGAGCCAGGCCTCCCGGGAGGCCACGCCGGGCTCCGCATGGGTTCCCGTGCCCCCAGAGCACCGGCAGAGCCAACCGATGGGCAGGGCAGGGCAGGGCAGGGCAGGGCAGCCAGCTCTTGCTCCCGGCCACGCAGCCCCTTCCGCACCGCCGGCCCAGCCCCGAAGTGTCGCCAGGGCTGGCTGGGTGGGGAGGGCCCCTCGCCTCGCCTCGCCTCGCCTCGCCTCACCTCACCTCTAGGAAGCGAGAGATGTCCCTCTTGTCGCTGACGCCCATGGCCACCACGTTCTCGAAGAGCCAGAAGAAGGGCCGGTCGTCCCCCTCCTTGGGCCGGGCCTCGTGCAGCAGGCGGTAGAACTCGAAGAAGAGGCGCCCCGTGCCCTCTGGGGGGAAGCAGAGCCGGGGAACAGGCCTGTGACGGGGGCCTGGCTGTGGGCTGCCCCCCTGGCGGCCCTGAAGGCCTGTGGCCAGACAGATACTGCGCAGCGCGGCCAACTTTGCTCCTCTTGGGTCGGAGAAGTGCTGCGGGGCCGTCCCCAGCGGCTGTGGCAAGCGCGCGAGAACGAGGGCGCAGGCGGCAGCGCCCAAGAGACGCGACGGAGACCGGGTGTTCCCTCCAGACCCCCGACGGACTGGTGGGGCAGCCCCTCCCAGCCGGCCCTCTCGGTTCCCACGCCCCCTTGGCCTCGGGGACGCCTCACTGCCGCTGCGGGAGCCTCCCAGGACACCTTCCTGCGGGAGGCCTGATCCTCGTGCGCCAGCCACAGGCTCGTGCTGGTGTTTCGTTGTAATACAGCTTCAACTTTTAATCCTTTTTCATCTTCCAGGGCTCTGGAAGTCTGTCCGGGCATCGAGCCGCCCAGAGAAGGGCGGCCGACACACCGGCTCCATGGCGCTCGCAGCCCTCGCCTCCCTTGAGGGTGCCGGGGAGGTGGCCATGCAGCGGGGGGCATTTCTTTCCCACCAAAGCACGCCGGGGCGGGAGAGCACCTACCGTAGAGGCCCTTCCTGGCCGGGTTGACGATGGACAGGTCGTTGCACGGGCTCCCGCCGATCACCAGGTCGAACGGCCCCCATTCCTGTATCTGCAACGCGAGGAGACGCGACGTTGGCGGGGGTTGGCGGCCGCGGCCCCGGGGCGCAAGGGCAGGGGCAGCCCCCACAGCGCTCCACGTACGTGTTTCTGGGTGACGTTGCGGACGTCCCCCACATACATGATCTTGCCCTGGTGCCGCACCATGCCCACCGTGATGGAGTCCTCGCACACCTCCGACGCGATGTAGCGGTCCACCTGGATGCCCAGGTCCTTCAGCACCAGCAGACCTGCCGAGCGGAAACGCCAAGGAGCCGCCTGCGTGCCGGCCGCCTGCTGGCCGCAGCGCTCCTGGGGCAGCCCTGGGGAGGGGGCCGCGCTCACCTGTGGCGATGCCGTCGAAGAGTGAGAGCACGCGGATGGGCTTCCTCTTCTCGGCGGGGACCGGCGGGTAGACCTTGGGTGGGTCCTGGAGGCAAAGCAGCGGCAGCCGCTGGGACGCAGGCCGGGCCGGGCGGGCAGGAGCGCGTGGACCCATGGCGCCCCTCCGCCCCCAGCGGGGCCCAGTGGGGCAGGAGCGGCAGGGCCTCCGGCGACCCCCGACCGCCCTCCCTGCAGCCTGCCTGCTCCGGGCCTCCCACCTCCCCCCACACCCCCCCCCCCCCCCCCCGCAACTCACAAACTCCTGGTCGTGGTTGTTGGCGAAGAACATCTGGAGGCGCGAGGGCCAGTCCTCCCGCCGCCGCAGCAGGCCGTAGGTGCCCTTGTGGCCGCACATGTAGCAGTTCCAGGGATCCTCCTTGATGGCCGCCTGGGCAGCCCCGGGCCCCACCAGCAGGTCCACGCACTCCACGCAGAAGCACCTGCGGGCAGCAGGCGTTCAAGGCCCCGGAGCAGCAGTGCGAGGGCCCGGCCCACCACGGCCGGACGCTGCAGGGCCCCGGGCACGGCTGGCGGCTGCCGGGCCTCCCGCGCAGGCCCCCACTGCCGGCCACGTCCCCCAGGCCCACCATTGCCGGGATCCGGCGTCTCCTCCCAAAGGGCCGCCTCGCCCAGCAGGACAGGAGGGGAGGCCCCACTGCGGGGGCCCTGCCCGAAGGCCGAATGGCCAGGTGGCGGCGCCCGGTGGGACCGGAGCCCGAGAAGCTCCCCCCGCAGCTCACCTGCAACAGTTGTTGTTGCCGCACATGAGGACCTCGCGGCCCCCGCAGCAGATGGTGCAGTAGGACTGGTACCCGTCGTCGTCGTACTGGTAGGCGCACTCCAGGAAGCAGTTCTGGGGGGACACAGGCGTGAGCGGCCTTCCTGGCCCCGCCACAGCCGGCCCCGTCGTCCCTGCCAAGACGGAGCCCACGCCCGGGGGCCGAACCGGGCGGCAGCGCAGGGCCAGCCTGGAGCCGGCCCCTCACGCACCGCTGTGCGGCGCCGTGGCAGCGGCCCCCCAGCAGCACCCCGGGGGCCAGACACGCCGGCGCTGCTCTCAGGAGCAGCTTGGGGGCCACTGTGCGCAGCAGGCCGGGCCTCGCTTGCCCCCCGACTCAGCCACTCAACCCCCCCGGGCCAAGCGCACTGCCGTCCTGGCCGAGGGAGCCCGTCTGGACAAGCCACGCAAGGCCTTGTCCCCAAAGGCGACCCTTGTGTTGGGGGCCTTTTGGGTGGGGGACCGGGGGGCGCGACGGCCTCCGCAGAGGCGTGCCTGGCACCGTGACGGAAAGAGTCCCGATCGCCAGGGCTTTTTCGTCCTCCGGTTTTGTTCTGAGTTGTGCTCCGGCGCCGCACTGCTGCCGCCTGCTACTTTGGCTGCACAGGGGAGCCGGGCCAGGCGCCCTCCTCGGGCTGAGAAGGCGCGGTAGGCGGGATCCGGGCACGGCCGGGAAGCCACGCCGAAGAGGGGCTGGGGTCTCCCCAAGCGCATGGGACCGCCGGGATGGCTTGCGGAGGAAAACCGGCCAGGCTGCTGCGGGCCGTGTGCCGGCTTCCAAAAGCGGCCGCTCGTCCATCCAGCGGTCAGGCCACGGACGTGGCCAGCCGGGGTGCGGAAGGGAGGCGGCGCTGCCGGGCAGGCCTGGCGGTGCGGGGCTTGGCCGTGGCACCCGTCTCGGGCCCACAGAGGGGGCAGAAGCAGCCTGCCCCACTCCACCAAAAGGGCAACCCAGAGGCCGCTCCGGAGTGCAGCGATTTGCCTGGGTCTTGCGCCGGGCCCCCCTGCGACACAATCCCCACAGCCGGCTGGGCGCCAGCTGCGAGGGGCCCAAAGCGCGGCTCTGGCAGACCCCGGGCGCCCCGCTCCATGGCCCCGGGTCACCGCAGCGCAAGTCACGGCCCCTTCCGGCTGCCCGGGCAGAGCGAGCGAGGGCCCCGCGGGGCAACCGTGCATGCGCTCGCCGTCGCTCCTCGCGTGCGCCGCAAAGGCTCGGCCCGGCTGCCCCAGGGGGGCTGGCCCCTACCTTGCAGTTTTGGCACATTCCTCCGATGAAGAGAGGGTGTTCCAGGGTGACATTGAGGCTCCCGCAGGAGATGCAGATATCTGGGGGGGGGGGGGCAAGCGACGTCAGGGGGGGGCAGGAGGAACGGGGGCTGCCCTTGAGCAGCCCTGCCAATCCTCTCCCGCGGCAGCTCCCACTGGAAATGCCCCCCCTTGCGAAACAGGCTCCCTGGACACGGCTGCCCCCCTTCACCAGAGGGAGGAGGAGGGGGCCCACCCCCTCCCAGCTGCTGCCTGCAAACAGGCAGGGGGCCAGGCCAGCTCTTGCCCCGACCTCATGTGCTGCCGCGGCTGGAGCATGGCCCCCCAACCTGCTGGCAGCCGGCCGTGCGGGCACCTGCAGAAGTACTCCCGCCGGGGCTGTGCTGAGGGCCGCCCCCCACAGCCTGGGGGCGGCCTGGACTGGGGACGGGGGAGCCACCAGGCCGTCTGGCCACACGCAGGCCTCTGAGGGCCGCTCGCCCGTTCGCTCACCTTCGATGTTCCGACACTTCTGCCGAACCTCATACACAAGACGCTCTGAAAGGCAGAGGACGGGGCGGGTGAGTCGGGTGGGCCTGGGAGGCCCCTCAGGCCCACGGGGGAACCTGGGGCCGGGGCCAGGAAAGGCCCTCCAGCGGGGGCCCCCCAGGAATGTCTTGCGGGGGGCCCTGCAGAGCGGCTGGCCAGAGGCTGGTGGGGCCAACGGGCAGCCCCGCTCCAGCAGCGCCTTTCGCTGCACCGGGATGCCCCCCCGCCCCGAAATCAACCTGCACCGTTCACTGGGACTCAGTGGGAACGAGGGGAGGGCGCGGGAGCTGAGCTGGCAGGCAGGGCCCAAGCTGTGGGTGGGGCGCCCCCTATGTGCCCGCTCCCAGCCTCACCCCAGCCAAGATCTGCTCTGGCCTTTCTCACCTCCTGTCATCCCAGGAACCGGGCAGGCAGGCACCCCGGGGGTCCCCAGAGCCATGGATGGGGTGCTGGAGGGCCAGAGCGTGTGTGCAGGGGGCTGGCTTCAGTAGCCCCCCACCCCACTGTGTCCCGCAAGGCAGCTGAGCGTGCCCCCGCCCCGGAGTACCTCTGGTGCGCTCGTCAATGATCTCCTTGACCTTCGGCTTCTCGGCCGTGCTCTTCCTCGGCTTTTTGGCGGGCGGGGGAGGGGCGTAGGCCGCAGCTTCGGGCTCGACCCACATCTCCGTGTAAACTTCCTTGTAGGGGTTGCGTTCCTCTGGGGCCGCAGGGAGAGGCGCGTCGGTGGGGCGGCCCTCCATGCCTCGTCTGCCCGGCGGAGGCCGAGCACGGGCGCATCTCCGAAGCCGGACCCCCAAAGGGCCACGGAGCGCTGCAGAAGGCCCAGGCCACCCGTGGGGCTCGAGTCCCGCAGCCCCGGCCCGCCGGCTGCTCCTTACCTTCCGGGGGCTCCAGGCCCTTGGGGCCGGAGGGCTGGAACCCCCCCAGGGCCCACTCGATCATCTGCTTGTTCTGGATCTCCACCAGTTTGGACGTATCCGTCTCATCGTTCTCTGGGCAGGAGAGGAAGATCTTTCCGGACCGGCTGCTGGCCACCTGCGGTGCGGACAGAGGGCGGGAGGGCCGGGTTCCTCGAGGGCGGCCGTGGGGGGCTCAGTGCCGCTGGGGGTTGGGGGCCGTGCAAGCAGGGCGGGTGGCGTGGAGGGCCGGGAGGGAAGTCTGTCTGCGGGGGAAGGAGCCCCCCGCCGGGCCGGGCCGGGCCGGGCCGGTCCCGCGCAGGGCATGCTGGGAGCACCCCCGGACCCGGCACACGCCAGGACTCGCGTGCGCGCAGTCTCGGCACGACCCGCTCCTCTGCATGCGCAGCACAGTGGGGCCGGGGCGCTCGCACGCTCTGCGCCGAGGGGGCCTGGGATGGGGGCCGAGGGAGGCCTCCCCCCGCCACAGGAGCCAGCCAGGCGGGGGCGGGAGAGGGGGGCCGGGGCCGTGCCTACCTGCAGCACCTCGTAGATGGCCTTGCGGTACATGGGCTGCTTGTTGTACGTGGCCTGGTGGAAGGCGCTGGAGAAGGAGCTGAGCGGGAGCAGCTTCTCCACGCAGACCTGCCGAGACAGGCGGGGGGGCGCTGAGGCCGGGGGTGTCAGGAGGGGCTCGGGCGCAGCCCCACGGTGCGAGGGCACCCTCAGTGCCCTGGACGGGGGACACAACAGAAGCCTCCCTGCCCCGCTTCCTCGTGGGGCGATGGGGGGGCAGCGGCCAGGACACCTGAGCCACACGCCGGGCCACCTGGAAGGCCCCCGCCCGGGATCCCCCCTCCCCGCACTTCCGCCTCGGAGGCCCAACGGGGCCGGGCCCAGACCAGGCGGAATCACCGGAAGACCGGGCCGGAGGCGCCCAGGGCCGGGGTCTCTCCTGCGGCAGCCCCCGGCCCTGGGGCGTCCTGCGGGGGAGGCCTCCGGCTTGGGCACCCAGCCCCCGGCCCCAGTGGGCCGCCAGCCTCCTCCCTCCTGCGCTGGGGCGGGGGGCTGCGTGCGACCCCTCGGTGTCAGCTGGCGCAAGCTGCGACTCCTGCATTGTGCTGGGGTGACGGAAGAGGGGCGCTTCCCCCCGCCCCACCGCCAGGCCCGCCTCCTGCCGCCACTCACCACAGAGAACTTCCCGTCCCCGAACCACATGACCCAGCGGGTGCCCTCGGCCGCCCGGCTGCGGCCCGTCATCCACCAGGAAACGATCCGGCCTGGCCACCAGGAGAATCCGCGCAGCTTCCCCCAGACCAGCTCGCCGATCCCGAAGCCCCGGCCATCCTGCGGGTGAAAAGGGGGCCGCCTTCGGGAGAAGAGCACGCCAGGCGGCAGGGGCGCCCCTGCTGGGCTCCACAAGTGCCTAGTCCTCAGCTGAAAGCGCTCCGCTCCCGCTCGGCTGAAGGGGCAGCTTCCTCTCGCCTCTGCCCGCCTAGCCCCCCACCGGTCTACCTTCCCAGTGCCCCCCAGTGCTCGCCCAGTTCCAGGCCTCCCCCCCCCGGGCTCCCCGCTATCGGCAACCCCTTTCCTGACCCCCACTTGTGCCTGCCACCACGCAGCCCTTCCTCGCTCGCTGCTCCGCCCCAAACCACGGTCCATCGCCGTCCGGCGTCTCTGGCCGACGGCACGGCGGGCCCTTCCGGAGGGGGCTGCTCCACGCCAGAAGCGGCACCGGAGCAGGGCCGTTTCCCCTGCCTCTGCGGTGCAGGTGGGCTCCCGGAGACCCTCCCCTCCTCGGTCGGCCGCGGGACGGGCATGGGGCTCACCTCATATTCGGGCTCGTCGTCGGCCGACTTGGACATGCCCTTGTCCACGGCATCGGGCCCCACGGGCTCCGGCGTGGTGGCCACGGTGGGCGAGGCCGGGTCCGTGGGCTGCTGCGAGGCTGGGGGGCTGGCCTCCTCCTCCTTCTGGGGCTCGCTCCGCGGCGCCTCCTCCACGGCATTCATCCCCGCGATGACCTTGGCTTTCTTCTCAGCCTGTGGAGAGAGCCGGGGAGTTGGAGTGGCCGCCGGCAGAAGCCCCGGGCGGTGTCCTAGAGCCTGCCCGGGGGCAGATCCCATGGGGTGCGCCTCGGCAGCGTGCCGGGGTGGCCGACAGCCTCGGGCGGCGGGCCCACCGACGGCAGAGGGGCCTCTCGCCCAAGCGGCCCGGCCCTCCCGCGGGCGACCGGCCCGGCCAGCGAGCCCTTCCATCCGCGGCATGGCCTGGGCCTCCTTCGCCACGCTCCTGCGTCGCCCAACTGCTGAGGCGCTTGGAAGCCGCCAGCCCCGGACGGCACTTGCCCCGTTTGCCATGCGGACGCGCAAGCCGAGCCCAGGGTTCCCCCGAAAAGCCGCCAGAAAAGAGCAGGGCGGACGCCTGGCCCACCGAACACTCCCGTACTGCGCTGCGTCCCCGCGTGCCAAGCACGGCGCCGGCTCAGCCGCCTGACCCTTGTCGGCAGCCTGGCCCCACGGATGGGACAGCCGAGAGCCACCATGCCCACGCCCCCCGGACAGCGCTTCCGGGCGGCCCTCTTGCTCCACGGCGCCCGCCCCCCACGGGGCCACCTCCCCTTTATGGGGCTTGCGGGGCTTCCCCTTCTCCAATTCAGAAAAAACTCTGCTGAGGAGCGAAGGCGCGCTGGCCGCACGAAGGCCCCGACCGACCCCAGGAGGGGGCCTCTGCCCAGGCGGGTGCCCCCCGAGCCCCGGTACGAGGGAGGGCAATGGAGCCGGCCCCGGCCTGGAGGTGCGCAGGGGTACGTAGGCAGGAAGCCCGTGACCCAGGGCCGCCGGCGCAGGCCCCCGGGCTCCCTCTGGGCGGCTGGGTGGCTCAGGAGGGCTGTGGCAGACCCGTCCTGGGCACGAGGCAGGCAGGAGCAGCTGCCCAGGGCGGCTCGCAAACCCCCCGGGATGTGGGGGGACAACGCACAGCTTGCGGGCTGGACTGTCCCACCCGGCAAATGCGAGGCGCTCGTTCTGGACAACGTGTGCCCGGCAACGTGTGCCCGGCAGCAGAACCCGGAACCGTCCGGCCTGATTTCCACCCCGCTCTCCCTCCGCGAGACCAAGCCGCTCGCCAGAGAATGAGATCTTCCCCAGACGAGGAGCGGCTCCGTCCGCGACGCGGCCTCAGCTCCCCGCAGGCTGACGGGGCCACGCCAGGGGCCTGCAGAGACACCGAGGGGCGCTCCCGGAAGGCCGCCCGCCTCCTGCCGCTCCCAGGGGGCCGAGGCAGCAGGGAGGGGCCCTCAGCCCCCGGGCCCGGCCATGCGCTCTCTCACGAGGGCCCACGTTGCGGACAGGCCCCCACACTGGCCCCGGCCCTGGCCCTGCCGCCCGGAGCGCCCGCGTTTCCGCAGGCAGCAGCAGGACGAAGCCGGGGGAAGCCACGGGGCTCCCCGCGGGCCCGAGACCGGCGAGGGTGGCCGGGGGGCGCAGGCACGCCGCTTCTCCCCATGGCACGGCAGCCCCTCACAAGGGCCAGCAGTGCCCTGGGGGCTGGGAGGGGGCAGCACCAGTGGGCAGGGGTAGTCAGGCAGTGGGGCCACGCTTCCGCAGAGAAGCCGGAGCCAGCCGAGCCCGAGGGGCCCCTCCGAGTGCTCCCCCGCCCGGCTTCAGCCCAGCTGCCCCTGCTCCCGTGGGGCTGCAGCAGCGCTTGATGCCCCGGGTGGGCCCGCAGGCAAACCGGCTTCAGCTCCGAGACGGGAGCCGCGCGCCAAGCTCTGCGACAGCAAGGAGCATGTGTGTATGCGAGCGGCGTTCCACAGGGGCGCAGGATCCGGCACGACGTCCAGCCATGGACGTGCCGTGAACGCCCGCCCCCCTGCAGGCACACGCGTCCGTGAGCGGCGAGGCTGCCAGAGGGCGCGGGGGACCCCCGCCCCGCCGAGAGGCCCGCGCCTCCTGCCCTCTTGGTACGGCCCTTCCTCCCGCCAACGTGAGGCACGGGACCCGCACGGGCAGCTCCTCACGCATAGCCGCCTGCCCCGCCGGCGCTGCAGAGCGGCCTCGCTCACTGACGAAACAGCTGGAGCGCGAGCCCAGCCACGTGCCGCTTGCCGAGCTCTCAGGTGCCAAAGCAAGCCCCCGATGCTGCCGCCCAGCCGCCCCGGGCCGGAAGGGGATGCGGCAGCCGCCCCAGCATGACGCAGCGCAGGCAGGGCCGCCAGGGCACGGGGGCTGAGCCGCCGGCTGCCCCCCGGCGGAGCACGGCCGCGGCGCACAGGGCCTTCCATTCTCCCCGCGGGGCCCTGCCCGTCCGCGGCAGCCGAGCACTGGGCGGGCGGGCGGGCGCTCCCGTCCGCTCGCCCACCAGCACCCAGAACCCTTTCCCGATCAGGCGCCCTACCGCGGATCCCATCCGCCTATTCCTGAAGCTGGGGTTCCATCAATCCCCACGTGCGCACTCATGTTCTGGTCACCTCACCTGGAAAAGGTGACTGGTTGAGCTGGAAAAGGCGCGGAGGAGCGCAAGAACGGCCAGGGGCTGCAGCAGCCGCCCCAGGAGGTGTGGCCAGGGCAGGGGCTGCTCAGCCTGGAGCAAAGGCGGGGAGGGCGAGACGGGGCAGCGGCTTCCGCTCAGGCCGGCCCAGACCGCCAGCACTCCAGGAACACCCTTGCCCCCCCGGAAGAGGAAGGGGGTGCCCTTCCAGCAGCCGTGCCTAGCCAGGGCTTTCCCCGCTCAGGAAGCCCTGCCTGCGCCCCGCTGGTTGCCCTCTGGGCCACAGCGCCCACATGCCTCCCCAGGCGCTCCCCCGCGGGCCCCTGGCGGGCTGCTCCCTCCCACTGCCTTCCTCTGAAGGCTCCGTGGGCGCTCGCCTGCCTGCCCCGCCCTGCCCTGCCCCGCCTGCCCTGCCCTGCCCTACCCCACCTGCCCCACCCCGCCTGCCCACCCTTCCCTGCCCCGCCTGCCCTGCCCTGCCCTGCCCTCCCCCACCTGCCCCCCCCTGCCTGCCCACCCTTCCCTGCCCCGCCTGCCCTGCCTCGTAGCACGGTAACGCGCCCTGCTGCCGCGGCTCCTCCAGCGCCGCCGGTTTGTTCCTGCACAGGCGGACGTGCCGCACTTCACTGCGCCTTTTCCTCCTTGCATTTCAATATGCTGCGCGGATCGGAGGGCCGGGAAGAGCGGCACACGGGACAAACACTCCCAACACGACCGGCACAACCACTTCTGCAGCTCCCGGCAGGACGCCGAACGTGAGGCTGGACCTTCTGCAGCAGCCGGGATGGGTTCCGGGGAAGCACCGCTCCGGAGCGGCGGTCCGCTGTTTGAAGGCAGGCTGGACATGCACCGGGCAGGCATGCCCTGCGCAGAACCGGGGGTCAGGCTAGATGGCCTGGGAGGACCCCTCTGCTTCTATTTCGATGCCTGAGGGGCAGCCCATCGGCCTCCCGGGCAGTGTGCCTGGCTCACAAGCGCCCAAGGCACACCTGGCCGGCAGCCTGCCGGAGCCCCCCTGGTCCAGCCTGGCCTGGGGCCAGGCAGTTCCCCCTCCAGGAGCCTCTGAGGAGTGTGGGGCCTGGGGAAGGCAGACCCCTGGACACACCTCCGTCGCCAGCCAGCAGCCGGCCCTTGAGGGAGGCGGGGGCAGGGTTCCCTTTTGGACCGAGGCTCCTGGGAAGCACACTGGCCAACACAACCCAGAAGGACCACGATCCCGCAGGAGGGAGCCCCAGCTGAGAGAAATGGGGTTGGGGGAGGGTCCTGACCTGGGCCGAGGGGTGCATAGAGTGGGCACGTGGGCGGGTGCCCAGAGATGAGCTTCACCCTCTTTGCACTGGGAACTACCTTGAAGCCGGATATGAATGGGGGCCCCAATCCTACGACTGCCACAGTGGGCACCCCAGACAACCCGCCAACTTGGGGCAACCGGGGGGAGAGGCCCCAAAATGCCAGCCTACTGCCCGGTGCAGAAATCCCCTATGGATTGCACTGCAGCTGCGGAGCCCTGGATCGACATCTCCACGAGAGACGGGACCCCTCGGCAGCCCTTCTGTTGACGGCACCAAAACCCGCAGCAAAGCAGAGCCACTGCCGTGCGCGCCCTGCCTGCAGCGCTTCGGGATTCGGCCCCGGGGCTCCCTCTTCACCCCCAACATGCGTGTCGGGGCAGGCCACAGGGGGGAGCCCGCAAATCCACACCGGGTGTCCCACCAGTGGGCCTGAGTGGCGCCTCCTCCCGGGGGCGCTGCGCCCTGCCCGCCCCGTGGCCCGCGGCGCTCGGCAGGCGCCCTGTCCCCGGGGCAGAGGCACGTCAGTGGGAAAGCAGCGCCACGTCCCACTGCCGCGGCACGCAGATCTCGGCCACGGGGAGATGGCCACGTGCCGGGTCAGCTCGGCTGAGGCGGCCACAAAGGCCACAGTGCTAGGGGAGCGGGAGCCTGCAGACCCCGGGGGACCGGGCAGCCCCCAGGCAGCTGCCCGCTCCTCGCATGGCACAGGCTCGGGGGTGCTCATCAGGCAGGCAGCCCCCCCAGCAAAGGACCACAATGGGCCCCGAGGACAGAAGCCACTGCGCTCGACCGCCGGTGCAGGCCGCTTCTCCCGCTTCCGGGGGAAGCAGCCAAGATGGCAGGGGCAAGCCGGAAGGGGGCACGGGAGGCTCCTCACGGCATGCCGGGCCTTCCCGCTCTGCCGTGTGCCCCGGGCGCTGAGCGGCGGGAGGTGGGTCGCTCACGCTGGGCTTGCGGCCCCTCGGCGAGCGACGCACAGCGCGCCTGGGGTGCCCTGCCCGCTGTCTACAGCTCTCGGGGCTGGGGCAAGCCGGAGCACGTCCGCTCCCACCCCCTCGCTGACAGGAGGCCAGGAAGCACGGAGACCCGGCCGAGGACCCAGCCGGACGCCGGGGGCCACTCCCCAGCGGGCAAGAGGTGCGACGCGGGACCCGGCTGGGCACTCGGCGATCTCTCACCAGCAACCACGGCCTTTGCAGCCACGGTGCCTTCCGCGGTCGCCGTCGGTCTCGGGCTCCTTCCACCATCCCGTCCTCCGG